CTAAGTTTGTTGAGAATCCATGCACAACAGGGCTTATGCTTGCTGCACCAACTGATAGCAACAGGGAGGAGAGGTATTAAGATTTATTTTCACCAGTTTCCTTGGAAAGAATAATATATCATCCCAATCCTGTCATCAAACATGTGTGAACTTAGATAAGTGACTCAACTCTGTATTCGTTTCTTCATTGAAAATATAAACTTGAAAGTACTTGCCTTCCATGTCAGTAAAAATAAAATTACAAAGATTTGGAGGCTTGGAAAGGCACAAAATACTTTGCAAATATAAGGGATGATCATATTCCAAGTCAGAGTGGGTTCCCAGTTCAAATATTCCAAATATACTAGTGTTGTGAATATGTAGGGGTGCATAGGGCAGCTTCAACTGCTTGCTGGGTTTTTGTGAGACACGAAGCATTGGTCCTAATAATAACCTTAACCATGGGCATGTTGCAAATCAAGCTGGAGAAGGATAGACATGAAGAAAGAAGAAAATGAGAGGAGAAAGAAGCAAGTCCAGACACTTGGAAGGTTCTGTGAAGTCAAAGAGCCAGTGTAGTGATGGGCGCTCCACAGAGAGAGGATTTTCCCTTCCCTAGTGCAGTCACGGCTCCATTACATGCCACACGACTCAGCAGTCTTGAGTGGGGAAACAAAGAATAACTCAACAGGATAGAAATTAAATCAGCAGCATGGAAGAACTTGAGTCATATTTGAGTAGAACAGTGATATTATTTCCCTAGCTCTGGTGATATTTTTTCCCCAAAGCTTGGCTGTGGACAGCTTTAGTCATATATCTCTCCTGAAAGTTGTAATTCACTGTAGTTTCTCACGTGTTCATGTATCACATTGAGTGTTGACAGGCTGGGCATTTAATTATCTGAGAACTGCTGTACTTTCTTTGCTTCTTGAATAATGAACTGGATTCTGTACCAAAGTGCGAGGTACTTACAGCTTCTTTCAGACACTCGGGATTCTGCCTTGGGTTGCACAGGGATTCAGTTATTCACATATACCCCAAGAGGGCAAGTGAAGCAATTATCTGGAGATTTCAAGAAAACCACTGACTCATCTTAATTATCTGGATGTAGGTAAAATCCCATTTCAACAAACTTTAACATGCTGTCCTAATTACTTTGAATATTGAATATTGTTTATAAGAAGCGAGTCATCATTTGGGTATTAGGCCTCTACAGGCTGTTATCATTGTAATGGTGTCTGTTATAATCAGATTTAACCTCCTTAAATTACCTTAAAAAATAGTCTGAAATGATTACTTCATTTTTTTTAAAAAACTATATAATCCACCTTGAGTAGAGATGAGCAGAAAATGCCCCTATCAATAATGTATTTGAGTTTGCTGAACATGAACTCCGCCACAGTCGAATTATGGTTCTAGCAAAACAATTTTTTTCCAAGTTTGCCTGAATGAAGGCAGCAGTGGGCTTGGGCTCCTGTGCTAGTCAGTTTTGCATTCCGGCCGGCTTGTCTAGATCGGCTTGCACACAGTGTAGTTCAACCATATCTGAGCACTGCCTTTCCTTAGCCTGGCCTTTCACATGGGGTGATTATCTAGAGCTGCTTCATTTGCCAAGGTCATCACTCTGGGAGCCTAGCCTTTCCTCTGGTCATGTTAGGCACTACTACAAGGATCTGGGGCTTGTGACTTTACATTTTCACACCATTATAATGGCCTTAATTACTACAAGGCCAGAAGAGGTGGAGCCCCCATTAAGAAACAAAAGAGCAACATACCAAAGTACTACCTGAAGGCCTAACATCCTGTCTCATGCACAGAGGGTGCTTGGATATTTACTAAGTAAATAAGAATGTATCAAGGCCATGCCCCATTCTCAAACACAGCTGCCATAGAGCTTTCTAGAAAAAAAATTGCTTCACACAGAAGTGTAGTTTGACCCAACTTAGTTTTCACTTCAAATCTTTATTTTAAGTGACCCAATTGCCATCAGCATCTTGAGGCCACATGGGCAGCTCAAACAACATTACAAAAGGCCAGTGTGTTAGGGGGTCCCCACGATGGCTGCTAATGACACTGCCTCTTCGTATTCATGCCCTTGAGAAGGCTGGACCTAGAGAATTGCTTCTAACAAAGTGTGACAAAAACTTAAGGAATATGAATTCTCAGGCTAGATGCCCAAAGACTCTAGCATCTGTCTTACTTGTTCTCTCTTGCTCTTTAACCCTCTCTACCTCTCCCTAGTTTTCTTTCTCCCTCATTCTCTCTCTTTGTCTCAGAGCCCTTGCTCTGGGGGAAGCCAGCTGCCATGTTGTGAGTAGTTCTATGAAGAGGCCCACGTGACAACGAACTCATGTCTTGGCCAACAACCAATGAGAACCTGAGGCTTGCCAGTAGCCATGCAACTGAGCTTGGAGGTGGGTCTTCTGAGGATTCCCAACAGCCATGTGAGTCAGCTTAGGAGTAGACCCTTCCCTGGTCGAGCCTGGAGATGACTGCAGTCCTGATTGATACCTTGCTTGCAGCCCTTTGAGAGACTCTGAGTCAGATATACCCGGCTAGGCCATGCCAGGACTCCTGATCCACAAAAGGGAGATAAGAAATAGATGTTGTTTTCAGTTACTAAGTTCAGAGATGATTTGTTACACAGCATACATAGCTAAGACAGCCAGTCTCATGTTTTTTAGGGTATTGTAACAATCTGATGAATGGTATTCTTGTTTCCATACACTACTTTTCCTTGCCAAAAATTCAATCATACTCATCTCACTGAAAAATATTTTATGGTCCCTTATTACTCCAAAATAAAAATTCTGACATCAAGCACAGAATATTCTAGGTATTTTGTCATCTGATACTTACCTGCAGCTTTTCAAACTATTTTCTGTCTGTGCTACCACTTTTTCTTTTCTTTTCTTTCTTTTTAATAGGGTCTTTCTCTGTCACCTAAGCTGCAATACAGTAGCACCATCATGGCCTACTGTAGCTCAACCTTCTGGGCTCAAGCAATCCTCCCCTCAGCCTCCCTAGTAGCTGGATTGCAGGCATGCACCAATATGCCCAGCTAATTCTTTTTTTAAATTCTTTTGTGGAGATAGGGTTTTGCCATGTTGCCCAGTCTGGACTCAAACTCCTGGACTTAAGCCAACTGTTTGTCTCAGTCTCCCAAAGTGCTAGGATTACAGACAAGAGCCACCACACCTGGTGAATGCTCAGACTTTAAATGTCTCTGTTCCAACCACATCAAACTACTTGCAATTGACAAGCACACCACAATTTTTGTGTTCCTCTGTCTTGTCCTGGCTGTTTCCTCTCCCTGGAATGCCCTTTCCATGTCACCTGTGGAGGTGACATCTGGAAAACTGCTACCCATCCTTCTAGATCCAGGCTCCAACTTCCTTTTTGTAACGCCTTCTCTACTATAGATAAAGTGGGACACTTTCTCCTCCATGTTCCCATAGTTCTCTGCTCCCGCTCTACCATTCTCTTCCTGACTAGACCATGGATTTCTCACAGGTAGAAGAAAATAATTCCTAGAGCATGATTATTAAAAGCAAAGGGTTAGGAGCCCCCCCAATTGGATTCAAAATCCTTTCCTTATCTCTTTACTTAGCTATGAGCCTTGGACAAGTTATTTAACCACTGATATGGTTTAGCTCTGTGTCCCCACCCAAATCTCATCTCAAACTGCAATCTCTGCAAGTCAAGGGAGGGCTCTGGTAGGAGGTGACTGGATGATGGGGGCAGTTTTTCTTCTGCTGTTCTCATGATAGTGAGGGAGTTCTAATGAGAGCTGATGGTTTTAAAGTGCAGCACTTCCTTGCTCTCTCCCTCCTGCTGCCACATAAAACATACTTTGCTTCCTCTTCTCCTTCTGCCATGATTGTAAGTTTCCTGAGGCCTCCCCAGCCATGTGGAGCTGTGAGTCAATTAAAACTCTTTTCTTTATAAATTACCCAGTCCCAGGTAGTATCTTTACAGAAGTGTGAGAACAGACTAACATAAACACTGAAGACTTAATTTTCCAAGCTACAAAATGAAAATAATAATAGGACCTATGTACAGGGTTGTTTTATAGTTAAGTGAGATAATATGTGAAAAATGCTCAGCACAGGGCCTGGCAATAAGAGTTAAATGTATATTAATTATTATTTATAATTATAATCACAGAGATAAGCACAAAATAAAATTTCAATTACTGTTTCATGATTCTCTGAGAATTATTTGCATTTTCACCAGGGACAAAGGCATGTGAAAAAAGAAGTGTGACCATAGGAGAATTTCAGAAATCACGGACACCTGTTTTGCCTCCTTCTCAGCTTGGCCCTGGGTATTAATATTAAAACGGATAATAAATTAGCAGGTAGGAAAGAGAGCAGGGTTCATTTATTCACTGGACTCTTTGTCAAGAGTCTGGAAATGAGAAATTTTCCCCAAATGAAAGATTAATATTAATGTGATGAAGTGATTGTAGTCTTGAGGATGAGAAACCTATTTCCATTTTCTTTTTTTTTTTTTTGGAAAGGAAAAATTGCCAGGGAATCTATTCAAGGGACTCACAGTCTTTGACAAGCCCTTTCAAGCAGCAGGATGCAGTGGAAGGGGCAGAGACTGAGGAGTCCAATGACCTGAGTTCTAGATCCAACGCTGCCTCGACTAGTGTGTGCCTTAAGGTAGAACACACTCATGCCATCTGTAAATGGGGGAGAGTAACATCCATTCTCCCTTATTCACAGCACCATGGGGGGGAGCAACTGAGATCATGAATGTGAAGACAATGTGTGAAAGTTTAAGAAAACAGAAATTCACGATGTACATATTTTCATGATTTCCTATTTAAATAAGAAATAGCCAAGTATGTGTAAGGACAGCAATGGAAGATATAATTGATTCTGCTTATGTAAATGTGGTGTTTTTCTTATAAGCTTTCCAAAAAACTCAAAAGGAAGTCATAAGACTAAAAGTCATTTAAAGGAACTTTTTTTTTTGAAGTAAAAGCAATTTTTCTTTTTTGAAACTAACAGAACACAATGAAAAGAAAAACAACCTGAGGGATCCAATATTTAATATGAAGCAACTAAGGATTACAAACCAGGAGCTGGCTTCTTTATGCAGTGTTTGAGTCCTTGCTGATGTCCTTGGACCAGTAGATCAACTCCTAACATTAGTAATTATGTGTATTTTCCAGGGGTCTATTTAGAATCTCCTCATAGTTACACTTAACAACTTGTCTTAGAAGGAATAACCCATCTGATCTTCAGAAACCTCTGTTATAAGCAGGTATTTTTAAAAAATCAAATGTGGAAGAGAACTCTAGGTAAACTAGGTAAACATGATTGTCCTGAAAGGGTACTTCATTTCGAAAGAGAAAAATAATGAAAGAAAACGGTAGGTGACCAAAATAGTCTACATATTAAACAAGGTCTTCCAATTCCAGTGGTTTCTTCTTTGATAATCTCTCAGAGATAAAAATCACTCTTCCCAATTTGAAACAAAAGTAAATGGATGTTTGCAATGCTAAGAACCCCTGTGGAAATGAGGCGAAATGAGACAAGGCCTTCAGACCTGTGAGAAAAATCAATCTGATGGAAAATTGACAAACTTGTTTAACATGGGGCACAAGAGCCAAGGGCTGACCCCAGAGGCCTCCTCTGAGACACCCAGTGAAGTTCCCGTCAGTTCCCTTAATCCGTTCAATTACACAACAGCATCCTGAAGGGAACCTTTTTTTCTTTAGCCAAACATCACTTTAAATTAACTTTTTTGCCATTGTGTTTTAAATTCCAATTTCCTTCTCTTCATTCTTTCTCTACACTAAATTATTAAAATCACCAACTGCTCTACAATCAAAAATATTTCAGAAAGCAGTGATGCCAAATTTGAATTGACTAAAGTGAAATCAGACAGAAGGAAAGATATTTTGAACATTTCTACGCTTGGTGCATTGTTTAAAGATATGGCAACAAGTAATTAAAATGGACTACTTGGCTTTTCCCCACAAAACCAACCCAGTGTTGGCCTCATTACAGCCTAATTCAGACCAGAGAGACATCTGAGTGAAGTGAAACACACCAATATATTTACAAATAGACTGACTTTTGTTCTTCATCTATAACTTGTTCCTTTTTTATTAAAAAAAGTTAAGCTACACTAAAATGATAAAATAACTAAAATAAGCCTTTTATTTTGAAATTCAGATTGAAAAGGCAAAGCAGGCTAACTTTTAGAACTAGAGAGAGAAAGGACTGGATTTTTTTTTTTTTTTAAAGAGCAGATTTCACTCAAAATGTCACATCAACGGACTTGCACATGAAGCTGGTCATCTAAATTCTGACTATTTTCTTTTCACTTACCATCATCTATCTACACATGACAGAAATAAAAATGTATACACAGCCTCACAGAGGAAGAATTACACTCCACCTCTCCACCTTTACATACAAACACACCTTAGCCACCGGCCTTGTTTTCGGATGGGTGATGTACCCTGAGCAGGGCAACTAGACTAGCGTTGATACTCGACACCTGTCAACTCATGGCTTCTCCTCCTCCTTATTACACTGCATTCAGTTAAATGGCCAAATTCAAACAATTGTCACAGTACCTAGTGCTAAAGATGCAAAGATAGTCCCTGCTCTTTAAAAGCTTATGGAATAGTGAGTCCCTTAACATTCCTTCACAGCAGGACCCTGAATTCCAGGCAGCACTAAGCAGAATATTTGTTGGATAGGTGCATCCTCAACCAACAAATTGGCTTTATTTTAAAAAGAAATAAAGAGATGGGTTAGGTGCTAATTGTTTGATTGGAAATCAGTTCACACATTTCCCCCCATGAAAGAAAATGTGCCAGGCACGGTGGCTTATGCCTGTAATCCCAACACTTTGGGAGGCAGAGGCAGGAGGATTGCTTGAAGCCAGGAGTTTGAGACCAGTCTGGGCAACAGAACAAGACCCCATCTCTACAAAAAATAATAAAAATTAGTCAGGCATGGTGGTACACACCTGTAGTCCCAGCTACTCAGGAGGCTGCAGGAGGATTGCTTGAGCCCAGGAGGTCAAGCCTGCAGTGAGCCGTAATTATGCCACTGCACACCAGCCTGAGTGACAGAGCAAGACCCTGTCTAAAAAGGGAAGGAAGGAAGGAAGGAAAGAAGGAAGGAAAGAAGGAAGGAAGGAAGGAAGGAAGGAAGGAAGGAAGGAAGGAAGGAAGGGAGGGAGGGAGGGAGGGAGGGAGGGGAGAGAAAGAAAGAGAGAGAGAGAGGGAAGGAGGGAGGGAAGGAAAGAAAGAAAGAGAAAAGAAAAGAAATAAGAAAAGAAGAGAAGAAAAGAGAAAAGAAAAGAAAAAGAAAAAAAAAGATTCCCCTGGTGGTGGTGGTGGTTACAAGCCTGGACATATGAAAGCCTGTTTAACTCCTAATGTGGTCACAATTCCCTACAATGGTAAAGAAGAGTGCAAAGGTAATTCCACTGTTGTTGTAAATACGTGCCATTTCAAATATGAGTTTCATATTTTAAAAAATCTGTACTAACTCTCAGAGTATAAAAAATACTTGCAAATATTACCTGTTTGACTCTGTGAGAAAATGGACTTACTGATCTTGGTTTTTATAAGTTAGGGAACTAGGCTTCATGGGGGCCAAGCAACTCCCTAAGCATCAGCTGGTTAAGAAGTAGTAGTTCAGGGACTGGAACCCGGGCTTCTGGCACAAGAGCCCATGTTAGTCTTTCTACATAAGACTGTCTCAGAATATCTCTGGGGTGATTCAAGTGATATAACAAAGCAGTGAATTTTATTTAAAATTAGAAAAAAAAATGTTCACCTTGAATTTTCCAATGTTCCTGGGATATTTGATGTCTTCCTTGTGACTTTGAGAGTAAGTCTACCTCAGAGAAGAATGAATTTATCCTGAAGCAGTTTTTCTGGCAATGGATGAGAAGCTCATTAACCATATATTCACTAAGTTTTTTAGTTCTTGGTTCCATTTCTATGTAATAACCATCTTAAAAAATTTTCCTCTTTAAGTGGCCAGTTTGGAAACCAACGTAATAATTAATCAGAAAAGAGAGAGGGGAACTGCTGCTAAAATATAAAGACAACACTTGTAAAGACTGGTGCTGCTTAGTTTGAACATAGGTCATCTAAGAGATTTGTTTGGTTGATTGGCTGGTTGGTTGGTTGGTTTAAATGAAAGAGTAAAAACATCTCAGGGCACTCATTAAGGCATTAGTTATACAAAGTTTACATATTTTACCAAGAATTTTATTTAAAAGATTAGGTCTTCAAGAAAATTAGACTGAAGTCAATTGTATTTTTTTCCTGAAGGACTAAAGAGTCTAAAGGGACCAAAAGCATTACCAAAAACACGGCCCTTATAAGAACCGATTTTAAAATCAAAACACCTGAATTTTAGTCCCATGCTGAAGGTAAAGAGACAAAGGCATTTATACTCCAAGTTGTTAGACTGTCAGAAGTGAATGTGTTTGTGTCTGGCTGCATAAATGCATTATCTCCAGCTATTTCTAAATTCACAATACGTCTTCTGTATGAAGACTTACCCTTGCCCTCTCTGCCCAACTCCACATCACTTATAATACATATGTAGTTTATTACTGTACCATGCAATGGTGACATATTACTTTTACTTTGTGAGTCGAATATTGCACTTTGCCAAATGTTAGCAAGCTGTAAGCTTTTGTTAGCTCTCGTGGGAAATTTGTGATGGTGTGAAGTGAACTCCTGTCACCACTCAGTGGATTGCAAAACTGGTATAGCTCTTGCTAAAGACCTGGATCATATCTTGAAAGATTGCCTGATCAAATCAGTATCTTCAACAAGACTGGTTGTAGCCAACCTTTTTTCAATGTGTGAAATGGATATAATACGTTTACAAATGTATGGTTGGCTATCTTCTTCCCATTGTATTCCTTCTAGCTAATCTTTTGGCATGGATTTTTCTAAGTATAAAAAACACAAGGTAAGTATACCCAGGCACCTTTCTTGGCTCCCTACAGATACTGAATTGACCGCAATTAAGTATTATTGCAAAAAGAGGGTGTTCTGTTGTCCCACTGACTTAAATTCAAGGCCAAGCTCTGTTGCTAAGTAGACACGTAACTTTGGGCAAGTTACCTAGCCCTCCTGAGTCTTAGTTTCCTTCTATGCAAAACAGAAGTTATAATGTCTGCATCACAGGTTTGAGAAGTCCCAGGCATGTATCAGAAACCTTCTAAATGTTAATTTACTTTATTTCATTCCCTCCTAGGCACCATTCTCTTTCCTGTTCCATAGTCTACCAACTCGTTATCTCTGTATCAGTCCCTTCTTAAAATATATCTTTACATTTACAGATGTTTGTGCATATGTGTGGATTTATGTCTTTATTTGCACAGTGTTGAATATTGAGGTCTACATTGATATTTGAGTCATTACCTTTAAGAATCTCAAAATAAACTTCCTTTTCATATAGCTATTTTTATTTCCAGTTGGTATAATCAATACAAAGAAATTTTTTTTTGCAGTGGGATTGTTGACTCCAAAATGCGTAAAAGGAACTTACAATTAAAAATAAAGTTTAAATGAGTAACAACATGCTGAAAAATTAAGCATGTGAAAAAACAGTGTTTTTCAGTCATTCATTCACATATTAAGGAAAATTGAATTCTAAATGGGAAAAATAAAACACATCCTTTAGAGGATGTGTTAGAGAAAAGAAAGATAACAAAATCATACTGAAGATTACACTTCATTTTTGTATAAATTTTGCCCAGAATATACCAAGAGGGACAAGGGCAGCAGAGAACAAGTTAGGAAGAGACCTGGTATTCGCCGCCGTATTGGTAATATGGTCTTAGAGAGTGCCTGAAGTCATTTGCTTAAGCTAAGACATTAGAACACAACCATTTCAAAAGAAGAAACAAACATCGGTGTGCTTAAAAGTAGCCATATTTGAAAAACTAATGCCACATTTCACAGAGTTTGCTCGAGTTCTTCATTGTGATATATTGCTTCACTTCACCCTTTAGCAAGCAGGCATTAGGAGCTGCAATGGGGGGACTTTTCAAGAAGAGATTTTTGCTTACTATGCTATTTTATCTTTGTGGCAGAATAATATCTTTGAAATATTAATCAATGTGTTTTATACTCATTCAAGCAGCTGGGCCACTTTAGGATCATTCTACAGGGGAAGAATGCTACATAGGGTTGAAAGCAAAACTGTTCCTGGATTTTGTCTTCCAAAAGCCTTGGTTCTTGAGTCTCCCTAGAAGATAAAGTGACAAAAATTTTGAGAGCTGTAGATTGAATGGGAAAATATAGAAATTTACTCCTCTATGCTCTTAACTCATCAGACTAGAAAAAATTCCCTAGACTGGGGAAGATGAAAGAGAGACAAGAAAAATCCATGAGCTCATAGATAGAAGTGTATTCTGAATATTAGCATCTCTAACCCTGCCTTCTGGGCCAATCCCCATGAAAGCAGGAAAACCCAAGGTGCTTTCCAAAATCCGAGACCAGATGGTCCCTGTGTCTTTCCCAAAGGGATGAAATGGCTGTGCAGTGAATCTAGGTAGACAGGGGAGGACCATTGACCATCTTCCGGAGATTTTCATTGCTCAGCAGGGCACACAGCATGAAAGGAGCAAAATGATGACTCGTCAAGCATGGCCCTGGGAAGCTGAGAGAGAGGGTTGGCCTCAGGGGTCCAGGTGAATAGGAGCAAAGGACTGAGGACAGAGGCAGAAGGGCTGGTGGACTACTAAGCAGAAACCTGAGAGGCAGATGCTCCACAATCGAAAGCATCCCCTCCCATACCCTCTTCCACACTCTTCTCCCTTCTGTAAGTGCCTGCACAGCAAATGCCATCCCAGAGAGAAAGGTGAGGTGGAACCCTGATTCAACAGAGGGTACACTTCCTCTACCCCAGCAGAGTCAGGGCTGAATATAAATTAACCAGAGGTAGAGAAAAATAAACTATTATGGTTATTGCACAGCTGATTTATCATGTGCATTCTTATGAAAGCCTAATCAAAAGTCCAAAGATTAAAAACCAGACAGCCTGCGTGAGAGAGAGAGAGTGGCCGGAACAAGGACGGGGCAACCCAGTCTCCTGCAGTCAGAATTGTATCCTCCTCTCTGTCATCCCAAGTCTCACTTCCAGTTCTGTTTAAGTTTTGAAGCTGAGAGAAAAGAAGCAATGTCAGAGGGAATTGGGGTCTTTAATATTGTGCACCGCAGTTAGCTCTTGAAGCAGAGTCACTGCTGCGGTGTTTAAAAATGAAGTGCAGTTCTCAACTCTCAGCGCCTCACATTCAGGAACTTCAGTAACAAATTCCTTTCACATTTGTTCCAAAGACTCCCCTTATACCTGAGGGTGAAGCTGTGGGTTTTTCAAGTGTTCAAATGCAGTGTTTAGAGATGGGACAAAGTTTTCATTCCAAAGCAGTAGCAATAGAGAATGACGCCTGAGGCACATCAAGATTTTCTTAGCAGATCCCAAGGAGCCTTGGGCAGGGGGACCCTAGAAGGTAGCCTCTAAAGAGTGGGGGACTGAGACTCTCTGACTCTCTGACTCTCTCAAAGCAGAGACTCTCTCTGCTCTTTAAAACTTTCTACCATTGAACCTAAAAAACTCCATGACACCAAATCACGGTCGGGCGGGCTTTATTTTACAATATAGTGTGGGTATCTTTCACTAATGCTGAAAGAAGCTGACAGATGAGCCATCTATATCCCAGGAAGGAAATAGGACTGGCTGGCTTTTAAGCAAAAACCTTGTGATGACAAAAACAAATACGTTAAGGGCTGGTCAAGGGCAATTCAATAAATAAAGAGGGAAAGACGGCCTCCCTGGTGTGGCTGCCAGAGGTGAAGATTGATTGCTTTGCGTGTGTTGTGAGAGAAGTTGCATGTAATGCACTTCATATTTGTGCTTCTAATCACACCACTTCTGGCCTACGGAGGGAGGACTCTGATCCAGGACGCCTACAGCCAAGCCTCAGCACAGAAGGGAAATGTCTTCCTTCTGGATGGCCTCCTTTTAATTTGTGGTCTCAATGAAATCACTTGTCTTCTTTTGTGATTCCTCTCAGAGCAGGGGATGGAAGATGATAGGAGCCTCCCCTGGGGTCTGCAGGGTCTTCTTCAGCCTGGAAGAAGGGGCATAGAAGGTGCAGGTCCACCTGGTAATATTTCAGGGACAGCTGGAAGGTTCCTTGCCTGCTTCCTCCAATTGCTCCCAGGTGCTCAAAAGTCTTTTAAATAAATGCAATCTTTCTTTTCACTGTCAGACGGAAAGAATCTCCTGGTAATGTGTAAATGACTGATATCAGATTCTTTCCCAGGGATAGGTTTTGATAAAAGGAAAATAGCATGGAGTTATTACTGACAGCTTTAGACAAGGAAGGGAAATGCCATTTTGCGGGAATAATAAAACAATGGGAAGGGTGAGGTTTCCAAACTTGGTCACTTTACAGTTTTCACATAGGGACAGGCTTATCCAACGGTAATGAAATGGCTTTGCTGAGCTATGTGGAGATGTCATTTAGAATAACCTGCTGGTTGAGAATTCTTATATATTCCATATTATTAACAATGATGTAGGCAGAACTCCCACCAAAACACTTAAAAACATTTGACCTTTTTCAGCTCTGGCTTTCTGGGTGATTCAGCCTTCAAGTAAAATACAATCCTAATATTGGTTCAGTAGCATTCACTGCTGAGTCTGGAGGTCAGTGGCAGACACCATCAGAATCTCCTTGAGGCTTTTACAAATGAAGAGTTTCAAAATGTTCTTTGTCAATAAGTCTTTTCATCACCAACATATCAATCCCTCTAAATTATGGATTTAACATGATTCCAATAAAAGTATAAATAGTCCTAGTCTGGACTTAAACAAGTTGATTTTCAAGTTCATATCGAAAAATAAACAAGCAAAATAACCTGGAAATGCCTAAAGAACAATCGGCAAGTGCAGGAGTATTAGAGATCAGCCCTAGAGATATTAGAACATACTAACAAAACCTCCGTATTTAAAGACTGTGTTGTTGCTGTATCAGTACACCATTGAAACAAAAGAATAAAATATGCATAGAATTCAGCATATGGTAGAGATGGACTTTTTCATACAGGGAATTGAGACAACTGAGTATCATGTGCTAAAGAATAAAATTGAATCCATACTTTTCACTATACAACAAGATCCATGTTTTAAATGTGGAAAGTAAAATCATAAAAGTACAAAGGAAACACATGAGAATTTTGGTTTCCGGAAGGCCTAACTATGACTAAAACTTCAGGATCCATAAAAAAAGAGATTAATGAATTTAATTACATTTAAAAAACCCTTTCAATGCAGAAAGAAAAGTCAAAAGAGAAAAGTAACTGCAGCTCACATACAGGCGGAGCACTGATTTCTCTGTGGAAAGTACTCTTAGAAAAGGGAAGACTAACAACCAACAACCCAAATGTAAAAATGAACCAATGACAAGAGCAAAGAGTTAGTAGAAAAAGAAACACAAATGCCAGGCATACATCAAGATTACAGTGCCACTCATTGCAAGAAAAAAGCACACTAAAACTACACAAAATGCCCTTTCTCCCTAGAAGACTGACAAAATCCAAATGCTGGACAACAATTCCATTGGTGGGCCAGGAAAAGAGGGGCTGGCGGAGTGCAAAATGGCAGACTCCAGAGATAGGTATTGACAGTGACCTTCAAAATAACAACACATCTACCAGATCTCCATTTTCAGCTGTGATGGAGGAAGAGAAACTGGATTTACTATCTCTTGGGTCTTCACCTAAAGACTCTCCTGATCCATGAGTTGGTCTCAGTTCTGGGTGCCTCTCCTGGTAGAATCATCTTTACAGATTGTAGTTTTTTTTTTAAAGACTCATTTTCCACACAGCAGGCCCCCAAAACTCCAACCCACTACTTCATTTAGTGTACAACTTAAGAAATAACTATTGCATTGACTCTGAAGTCAAACTTGGCAGCATTGGACTCAATGACAGATGTGCTTGTCACCAGCATGGTGACTTCCTAAGAGATTTTCAGAGACTATGTTGACCTTCTGCTATTTTCACCTGCTTTAGACTTCAGCTCTGTGCAAAATACAGATCAAATGAAATGGCAAGAGTACTCGATGTTGAGTCAGGAGACTTACTGTAGGCTTTGGTCTGTCACGTAGTCTCTCTGGGTTTGTTCTCGTATTTATAAAATGGAGTTGCCCGACTATGTGATCTCTAAAACCCCCTTAGTTCTAGAATTCTATAAAAATTTCTGATAAGAATACATCACAGTCACAAAGAATTAACAATGCTCCAAGTTAAGGCATAATTACACTGGCTCTAAAATATATAGTTATGCTACTTAATGTTACAATGAGATTTAATTAACTCTCCTTTCCTACTGCCAGAGCCATAGTGGAACAATTGTCTCTGCAAGTCATACAGAGCATTGGTGCCTTGGCTGGGTACTCTGGATCCTAATTTATTCTCATAGCAGCAGGCAATCACCTTGGAAAGCAGCGATGTTTGCTTTGCTGGTGAAGGGGGCAGGCAGTTGCACAGAAAATCTACTTCCACTCTCCCCTAGCAGCCCCAGAACCCTCCCAGAAGAGCTGTGGCACCAGGTGCCAGCTAAGGACTGCGAGAAGGATTTAGCCCAATGGATAAAGTGTGTTCCTCCGGCTGCCTCAGACAGGTGGGTCCATCTGAAGCAAATGTTATGAAATGGACTTTTTCATATAGCCTCGTTGAAATACCCAATGCCCCTAGGCCCCTGTAGCCAACAGGGAACTGTCCGACTTACCCATGATTTTACTCATCTTTCAGCTGGAGCAGACCTTCAAACATAAACCCAAGTCATCCAGGGCACGGAGTGGATTTGTGGAGGCTCCCTGGAGGCTGTTGGCTCCAAATCCCAGGAATGTGTTATATGAAAAAATAAATGCCTTTTTTTTTGCCATCTGTGAATGAAAAAGTTCTTCATATGTTTAACTGTTTCAAATTGCCATATGTGACATACACGCGCATGCACTCACAGACAGACACACACACACACACACACACACACACACACACACACACACACACGCCTGTTTGGGGGCTGGGATCAAGTTGGTAATACAGACTGGGTTCCCTCTTTCACCCTCTGCTTTTTCTTTCAAGGGGGCTAGAGGCAACAAGCTTCCAGGTTTGTAGCCCCAGAAATAGAACAGTTTTAATCTTCATGGGGTGGGAGGTGTGCTGAGGCTGACTTAGCTAGGGCATTTTTCTGGAATTTCAACCATCTGCTGCAATCCTCCCCTCCTATGCCAATTGTTCATCTAAACGGCCCCTACACTGCCACGAAATCATAAACATCTGATGACCAACACTGTGGCAGAATAGGGCACAGGCCCCTTACATTGTCTTATGAGAGGCTGAGGGGTGGAAAGAGAGGGGAGAAGGAAGAAACTAACAGGATTTGCTGAGTTCAACTCTCCCGCATTAACTCTCAATAAGAGAATGAATGGACTTCTTTCAAAGACTTTTCATTTGGTCATTTGCTTGAATTAATTTTGGAACGGTGAAAGCCTGACAAACCAGAGCTTTGCTTATTGTTTACATTTCATTATTCGTCCCTCAAAGCTGTTAGAGAATGAAGGTAAAATGCTTAATAGTACCCATTGAAGGATCTATTTTGATCTGACTCTCCCATGGTGATTAAGGGACTGTCAGTGAGTAAGATGCTAACCCATCAAAGCCATTATCTTCTAAATCTAAAGGAAACCCTTTTATGAAGGACTTTTTCAATGAACTCACAGGTATTGCTAAATACATCTTGTAGCAGGCAGTGGATACTGTTGTCTGCCTACCAAGATCAATCCACAAATGTTTCTTTGGCCCACAGGGTTGATACTGATTCCATACATCTGGATAGGGTTTTTATTTAATTATGATCATGTGACCCAACTTTGACCACAGAGATATAAGAGGATTGGGATTTCTATAAACAGCTGTTTTGGAAATCTTTGCTCAAGTCCACTGGTAATCTGATTCTTGTCTACTTCTATGTATCTGGTAAATTGTACCTGCCCATCCCACCGAAGTTAGGCACAGCCATGACAGCATTCTAATCAACAAAATCTAAGACACAGTTACATGTATCACTTCAGGCCGGAGGATTTAACAACAGAAGCTAGACCATCCAGCCTTCTCTTCCCTTGCCACCACAAAATATGAAGTTCTTTTCAACATGAGAGCCTCAATTAGTCTTGGTGCGTTATGGCGAGCCTGCAAGTCTTTAAGACATGGAGCAGGAACAAGCAATACACTTGTATTGTTTTAAGACACTAAGAGTTGGAGGTTATTTGTCACTATAGCATAAATTTGTCTGTTGTGATTGATACAGCTTTTCTTGCTCTTAACAATAGACATGAGATGCAAGAAGGAACAGCCTCTTTTCCTACCCTAAATATGACTTTGGGGCTGATGCTGCTGTCTTGCAACCATGAGGGGACAGATTGTGGATCAACTCAAGTCAGAGGAGGAAACCACCACAGCAAACTCTGAGGACACAGGGCTCTTGATAACATTATTGAACCAGGGAATTCAACCTAGAAGACTCTGTCACCAACCTTCTGTGAGATGATAATCATCTCATTGTTATGCTGCTTTTAGTCAGATTTTCTGTTACTGTCACCCCAAAGCACGCTAACTGATACATTCCAGAAGTGATCTGCCTCTTTCCTACTCTCTGTCTCCATCCACCCACCCACCCACCCATCCATCCATCCATCCATATATCCATGTGACAAGTATAACACATGCTTTTTAGGCCATGCCAGCCGTGAAAAACAACACAAAACAAAAAACTGCCAGAGTTTTAACTAGAGCCATATGCAGATTTCCTTTAACTCTGGCTCCACCAGATCTCCCCAGAGGTCATCAGTGCTGTTCTGACTACTGATCACCTCCAGGAGTCCACACTGACTCTTCTAAGGCAGTGCTGGAAAGTTGGAGGTTTTCTGAGGTATGAGGCCTCCTTTCTCGAGTATTTTCAGTCCATCTACAAATATGTTTCTTGTGGACAGGCTCTATGCTTGGCACTGCAGTGACCACAGGAAATAGCACAGTCACTGCCATCAAAATAGATAGGAGGGCATTAGGCAGGGAAGCAAGACAGACAAATCAACAGGCCACCTGAACACGAGGCTGCCACTGTGACCAGCTGACACCCTGCAGCTTCTTCCTACCTTCTCTCTGGATACCGTCCACTTCTATAGTAGATGGGGGGTGTAATGTCATGTCACGTCAAGTCAGCCAGCCATGCTGGTCCTACATGCTCCAAACCTTCATAGCCAAGGATCCTTCAGCCCTGGAAGTGGCTTTCCTTTTGTAGGTCTAGACCGATGCCCTGAGATGCCTTAGAAGCTTTTCTTTAAAGCTCTGCTTTGCCACATGATAGCACTGCTTTCATCATCTCTAACAAGTGATTGCTTCAGGACAGACCCAGGCCTGTAAGGTGCCTTCCTAAGCATCCATCACAAGGATAGGGAGGTAATCTTTATCTCCTGCCCTTAACACCTCGCTCTGGAGCCAAAGATTCTTTCAGAGATAGCAATGGAATGCATTCTCCAGAAGCAGAAGCTTAGATGGCATTTGGGGTGCAAAATGTTTTTTAGGGAATAGTAGTTGTGAGTGGAAGGCAGACCATGCAGAATTAGGCAGAGGGAGAAGTAAAATTATGCTGCAGGAGTAACCGACCCCAGCCAAGCTAGTGGGTGCTTTGGAGAGAGTAGCGCCCATCCAAGTGCCCCGAGTTTCGCTGAACCAGCCGGGCATCATGCTACACTGCCTGACGCAGTCATCAACGAGAGCTGTCCTGGGAGCATATGACTTCAAGCAAGCAGCACTCTGCAGCTTGTCTAGACGGTAACAAAACCGATGGCGCAGGCATCTGTCCGCTGTGTTGCCCACAGCTGGGTGGCAAATCCTTCCCTGAAGGGGGATCTGCGTGGTGTATTTGTTCTTCCACCCAAAGGGATGTGGGAGTCAAATCTCTGTCCACCGCAGCCCACCCTTTGGACCACTCAAATTCATTTCTCCGTGTATGTTCAGGAAACAACTCTCCCAGGACTTCCATGGACCTCTCTTCCTGAGGAAACTTAGAAAAGGGAAATTCATGGTCCAGTACAATGGCTTCCACCTGTAATCCCAGCACTTTAGGAGGCTGAGGAGGGAGGATTGCTTGAGCCTAGGAATCTGAGACCAGCCTGGGCAACATGACAAAATGCTGTCTCTACAAAAAAAAAAAAAAAATTATTTCAAAAATCACCCAGGCATTGTGGCAAGCACCTGTAGTCCCAGCTACTTGAGAAGCTGACACAGTAGGATCCCTAAAACCCCAGGAACTCAAGGTTGCAGAGAGCTGTGCACTGCACTTGGCCCAGGAGACAAAGGGAGTCCTTGTCTCAAAAGAAGAAAAGAAAAGGAAAATTCATGAATAAATATAGCGCCCATGTGATTGTCTGGGCAGGGCAGGTGTTTGGGGACCCACAGGTGACCACCATTGTCTCCTCCTCCACTATTCAGTTCAGACTCCACTCACTCTCAGGTCCCACCTCTGTGCACCTTTGTGGCTGGGCCCAGATCATCGTCTCCAGGGGGCCAGGCCTCTAGTCACCATGTCCTTCTCTGATTAGGGTTGCTGACCCTGTCCACTGACAGTTACAATTGGGCAAAGGAGCGAAAAAGCACCCATTGGGTTCCTCACATATTCCTCCTGCTCCCACGGTGTAACCACGGCCCATCCTCTGCTGATGATCAGGATCAGTCACCTCTACCACTGCTCGTGCCCACTGGTCCCTGGATACAAGGATCTTGAAATGCCTGACCAGAGAGCAGGGACATCATTATAGCCCACAATTCTGTATCTATCCCAGTCATGGCTCATTTCTTTTTCTACACAAGTTGATGCCAGGTATGGCCCTTGAAACTGCCCTTTGGGAGGATGGTCCCTTGATGCTGTCATTCAAGGCCACTGCTGATGAGGCTATATTGAAGCTACCATCTATTTTTGGCTTATACCTAAACACTGAGCCACCCATCTGTAAAGCAAACTCAGGCTTTCCCTCCATTTTCAGCTGGTCACATACTATGCCCCACACCCTCATGAGCACGAACCAAGGCAGGGTCTGTGCAGTGGTGGTGGTGCATGGATCAGGGCCACCTGTTCATGCAGCTTGATTGAGTATTTGGTCCCACCTGTGTTTGATCCCAGATGTGTCACTCCCATCTCACTGCTGGTGTTGCCTGACCTTTTGATGTGGTGGGCCTACAGAGCCCAAACCATGACAGGCAGTTCAGGCTGCACGGTCACTTAGTGTCCTGTGCTTAGTGTGACCAACAGTCTCAGTTTGCACAGAACTGGGGGCTTCTCTGTGACATGGGACTTTCAGAGCTAAAACCAGAAAAGCTGGGAAGATCTTGGGCAAACCAGGATGCATTGATCAGATACTCTGTCTGTAATAGGGCCTAGTTAGTATGCCAGGAGTTCTATTTCAAAACGTGTGTGATTCTCCACTGAGGATAACATGGTTTCACTGCAGAGCATCAGAAACCTGCCTTGTTATTCTCCCACTGGGGTTTTGCTATACCTTCTTTGGAGGTATTCACCCAGATGTCCTTATTCCCCCGGTCAAGGTCCCAGCTTTTCTCCACCAGAGCCCTGACCTTTGGTTAACAGACCTGTCTTGGTTGTGTCAGCCACCCTGACTTGAAGTCCCGGGCGTAGTCCCTGGCTTTCTGCATCCTCCAGCTGGAGGAGATAAGAGCTTCACTGCGTGTGACCAAAGAGTCCCTGGGGCTTGCATTCCTGGCTGTCAGTTGCTTATTGCTCATCTTTAGCTGTGTATTATCTTTTTGGAGAGGATCAGTGATGCTTAGCAATAGCCAATCCCACTCTCTTTATGTCTG